AACAGCTCTCCAACTGCAGAATGCAAGACATGATTTAAAAATACTTTTAAAACTCCCAGAGACACGTGACGTATGAGATTGCTGTTCATGCATACACTGTGACAGGGCCGGCAAAATTACTTGGAGATAACATCTGTGTCAATAAATGAGACTTAGTTTAACTATGATTGTCAATTACTGCACTTTCAGCCATGAAATTGTTCTAGAAACAACTTGATTTTTTTTGCGCTGGTTGTTGGGCAGACAGACGCACACACAGAGCACAGATGCATGCTGGGAACTTCCCTTTACCTTGCAGGACTTCTTACTGGTGGCAGAGCCTGGCCTCGTGTTGCTGTTGAGCTGTGATGAACTAGAGCTAATTTCATCGTCGTCATCCTCTTCTTCGTCAAAATTCATACTGCTGGATATACCTTAAGACAAAAAACAAGAATAAAATAAGATGACAGCCGCGAGTTTTCCTGCTTTTAATTGCTAATTCAGAAGAAAAGCAGCTGAAACACATTTTAAATATCGTTCATATAGGATGTTTGTTATTGTGTGGAAGTACGCCAATTCTTTTTAATTAAATGATAGATTAAACCAGGTGCAGCATTTCCCTGCATGGCGTTTATTACTGTTTAGTTTCTGATGTTTTTACTCATTTCATGGAAAGTTCAGGTGACGAAATCCAAATAAAACACGCCTGCTTGTAGTTTAGTAAAAGAATAATAACAAAGTAGTGATTAAACAAACACTTAATGACTTTCTCCAAGTCCAGAGTGTGTAGCGTTGCCTATTTGTTGTGTTACTGCACGCTGACCCACCCCAGCCTGTGTTTTAACATGTCTGGAAATGTGTAAAGCAACAAACCATCTGGTGTTAAGTTGATGATTGCAGCTCTGCATAATCAGCACTATAGTTGTTGCGGTGGGTGTTTACATTTTTTTTTTGCAAATAAATTACCAGAAAATAAGTCTTAATACAAGCAGTGACTTGTGAAAGTAAATTATCGTACCAATGATAGTTATAATAATTCAAAGGTAACCAAAGTACAGCCATGACTCGATGATCCGAAGCTAAATGTAAAACCTTCTTCTATTATCGGATATCAAGGTTGTCGGATTGTCCAGACGGAGGTCCAGATACGAGGAGGGCTTGATGCTGGAAGGCTCATTAGTTGTTCATTATTGTTCATAGTTGTTGTAATAACTAGTAGGGCTGGTCCCAATAGAACTTTCTGGGCCCAATTAATGAATATTCTGTGCGGTCGGGGGACACTTCCCCCCCGGGGCAGCGCTCTGACGGGGTGGAAGTGTCCAGAACACACAGGCAGTACTTGGCTGCTGATGCTAGTTTAGTTAGCGCTCACACTTCTGTTTCCTCCATCGGTGGCGGCGGGGGAGTGGCAGATACGCTCCACCGTTACCATCCATGTTTACTTCCATAAACACTGAGCACGCTCGCTGCGTGTGACGTCGTCGTGTCCTCTTCTGCGCATGCGGGACACTTTTGGCTCGTATGAAGTTCACACAGCAGATCACATACAAGTCGCATTGAACTGGAAACGTGAAGGAAGTCACAAAGAAATCCTCATTGAGCATCAAGTCCTGCAGTGTGAACGTAGCCAATCTGTGGGATTGTTCAGTCAGATAATACGCCGTCATCCTGATTGGTGACATTAAATGTCATGTCGGAGTCACAATCCAAGGCTGTCGCTATGTTAAGGCTGTTTTTATGGGTTCTGTTCGTTTTTCCTAAAAACCTGCCGGATAGCAGGTTTTAGATTGTTAAGGGTCGATTATCGAGTCATGTCTGTATCATTATCAGTGTTTAACACCTAAAACCAGCTGTGGTGGAAGAAGTATTCAAATTCTTCACTAATATAAAAGTGCCAATACAGCAATGCAGAGAAGTACAGAAGTTAGCAGAAAATTTAAGTTAAAGTTAAAAGTACAGGTTTGGTCCATCTGACTGATTTTCTTACAGATGACATCATTATATTGTTCATACTGAAGCATCCGTATGTCAGCAGCACGCTACTGATGCAGCTAATTACTTCATATGCAGTTTTACATGCAGGTTAATAAATAATATTTATTTAACTCTTGTTAAGATATTGGATCATTAATATATTTGTTAAAATCAAACCATGTGAGAAGTTTAGAGGGAAAAATCAGTGTTTTGGTGAAGCTGTTACCAACTCATCAACATCTGAAATGTGACACACTGCTTTCTGTAAGGCGTTGGAAGCCAAAACGGTTGGGTTATATTTTAAAAACTTGTTATATTAGAAACTGTTTATTTAAATAAATGTAGTGGAGTGGAAGTATAGAGTACCATAAAATGGAAATACTCAAATAAAGTGCTTTGAACTGATACTTAAAAGCAGTACTTTGGTTATATTCCACCGCTGAAGGTCAAAGTCTGATCAGTCATTTGCAAAATCAAAACTAAATAAATAACAATAATAAATCTCATCACTCTGCTACCAAGTGCATTATAGTGAATGGACTAAAGGTGTGACAGAGCAGGTACAGTATTACTACCACTCTCACTATACAGTACTTCTAATATGAATGCATTTGATAGATGTGTAAATTAAAGCTACACAACACTCATTAGAGGCAGGGACACATGATTAATCAGTGTCCAGAATCTGCCGCTCACTGTAGAATAAACCACTTGAGTGTTTATGATGTAAGGAAGAGTTAATGAGTCGGCTCGTATTCAGCGTTTACAGTATGATTAATGATATCAATGCAAGTCAGGCGCTGCTGGGTTTGAAAATGGCACGTCTATTTGCAGTTGCAGGTTTTAACATGAGTCAGTGTTTTCCATCCTCCCACCACGCGCCGCAGCAGCGGACCAGAATGCCGTGGGTGTAAACATGAACTCGTGGTCGTGCTGTTGCAGATGCAGCGACAGAAGCTTTCTCGAATACCTTTCTTGAGCATGGTGACGCGCAGATCCTGCTTGCTCTGCGACTGAGTGCAGCTCATGACGGGCTCCGCCTCGCCCTCGTCTGTGCTGTTGTGACCCACCGTCAGGATCTGGATCGGGCTGTCGTCCTGCTGGGAAGCCAGGCCATCGATCGCTGCGGAGCCACAATCCCACAGGAGCAAAAAGCTTCAGCTGCTGTTCAACGCTCAGTAATTTACGGTGTACAGTACGAGTCCGAATGTGAAGTAAAACAAAGGCATCAAACGGCAACAGCAGTCCGTCACACAGTCAACAAGCCTGAGTAGACGTGACAGCATTTACTCTTTGTTTTGCTCACTGTCTTCAATGTCCTACTAACTTCTAACTCATGATGTCTGTGCTGCTACAGAGAGCAGTGCAATGCGCTATATTGTGAACGGAGAAATCAAAATTCACACAAAGACGAAGAACGTTTCCTATGTGTGGGCGCTTCCTCACGACTTTATTGCTGAATTCAGTTAAACTCATAAAAAGTTAACCGCAGGTGCACGGGGGATTTTATTTAGTTGAGCTTTTTGGATATAATTATGACAGATTAGTCAATATTAAACCGCAAGTGTGTAAACAACTGTCGTATTTTATTCCATGGTTAAGAAGAGGTTCACGTGTAGGAGGTGAGTCGGTGTTTGTTTAGATTCAGGTTGCAAATTCACATTTAAGGTTTAACTTCTGATGTAGATATTAAATGTAGATGGCGACTTGAGTTACTACCTCTGAGAAAACTGATGAGCTTCAAATACTCTCGACAGAATCAGAGCGTGAGACAGACGGAGTGAGACGGGCTCATCAGCGGTGAGTTTGGCACTACTGGCCTGCTTCATCTTCTACCCCAGTTGAATCCCATTAGCTTTTTTTTTCTGGGACAATGTCACTCCAATGACAAGCACCTACTGTACTGCAGTATATCAGATGACAAGCATCTCTAATGTCAGAAATTGATGAGCAAACTGCAGATATATATGGTAAATATACGTGCTTTATGTCCACTATTATACCGCGTTCTGCTGAGTCTGCCCGAGCACGCTGCTGAAAGGCACAGAAAGCAAAAGGAAACCATCAAAGCAGCGCAGCTACAGCTGGAATACACAATGTGGACATTTTCCCTGGTATAATGTGCATGTGCACTTGTCGTGTGTCAGCCTGTCACACACCATCACAGACATTTGAGCTCTAACAAGCGTGAAGGCTAAGAGAGCAGCTTCGCCAGTTGTGTTCGTTGCCAGGCGTGGCTCAAGAAATCAGCAGGCGAAACAGTATCTGGCCCTCAAAGACAGTTTGGATAGACGGCTGCAGCTGCTGGATAATGAGGATTTTCTCTTTCATAGTGTGGATTGCTTCTGTTCACTTAGATCTGCTCATTCGGTCTTAACAACATGAACGTTCTTCACTCTGTCTGATGAACCTTTGGTCTTTACACCGGCTCGCTGACCTTTGTGTTTCCCCTTCCTCTCCTTCTTGTCGCTGCCCGTCTGTGGTGTGGAGCTGGCCGAAGCTTTTCCCTTTTTGGCTGAGCGAGGCGGCTGCGTGTCCGATATCACCTTCACCTCCTCCTGTTCAGCTTCTTGCACTGAGCACCAGCAGGTTGTCGGCGAGCGCAGACAGGAAAGGAGAGAAACGGAAAAGAAGGCTGACAATCACACAAAAGAAACTTATGATTGGGTTATACTGTACGACAATGAAGCCTGTTGAGTGACAGGTGAGACGTCTTTAGGAACCAGGCTCCTGGCGTTACCGTGACCTTGACGGTGGACGTAACACACAGCAGTGTTTCTACAGAGTCCTGCAGAGTTTTTACTATGACACATGTGGAAATAGATTTATTTTTTGACTCAGCACTGTAATAATGCTGGACTGCTCTTCAATGACACTGCAACATCTGTGCAGGTTCAGATTCAGACTAAAAATAAAAAGAGCGACCAGCCCTTGCCTGTGAACAGACAGATATAGGGCTAACAGCGAAAACAGGTCAGGACATTTCTTTCACATTTTTTTGGCTGGACTGATGAGGTCATCATCCCCTTTCTTTCCATCAGAATGCCAGAGACACATTTGGACAACGTTTTCCTCTTCTCTCTGCAGGAAACGTGACAGTTTGTGGCCTTGAGCCCAGAAACCGGCCCAACAGAATTGGGGATTAGATGATCCACTCTGTGTGTAAATAAGGAGACCTCATCAATCTCAGACCAAACACCGTCGCTGCTCTCGAGATGTGAGGTTTGCAGCAGAACGTGCATGCCTGGAATAGATTATACGGCTTGTTGTATTGGTTCTACACAGATTTAAAATTTAAAATATCAGCGAGGCCTATTCATCATTCAGTAATTATTCATCTGTTTTTATAGTTTGGAAATCGTTCTGTTTGTATGCAATTGAGAAACTGGGAAAAGCAACAAAAAAAGAAACTGCACAAGATTAAAATCTCTGTTGGTACAAGAACAAATACTTTCTGTGAACAGATTTATCAAACAAGCTGTTTGACATTTTTATTTGTTGAATCGATGCGTCTCTTAAATCCTCTGTTTGAGCTTTTCTGAATCAACACACTCCCAGAGGAGCGCCGTCTTACTCACCGTGGTAGATGGTGCTGCTGTTGCTGCTGAGGTAGGACTCCACCAGCGGCGCCTGCTCCTCGCTCTGCTTGGTTCGACGAGCGCGCGACCTCCCGTCCACGTTGGACTGGACCATCAGAGGCTCTTGTCTCTTTTTCTTCTGCTTCTGCTCGAGGAGCGCTCGCTGAACACGGAGAGAAAAACAATTAAGGCGCAGCAGCAGCAGCAAATCAAAGAGGTTATAGCCTCCTATTATGCTTTATTAGTAGGAATAGAATAAATGAAAATTAAATTACAATGGCACAATTAAGAAACAATTAGCACATTAAAGAACAAGGCCTTTCCAGTGTGTGTGTGAGGCTGAATGTACCGACACTCTATAAACTAGACCACGCTCCAGAACTACCACAGCGACTGACAACACAAACATTCAAGAGCGATTCAGCCGTGTCCTATAAACACGTAGCAGCTTCATGAGGCGAAGCTGTGAAGCTGCATTCATCCTTACTCCTCAAACATAACGTATTTTTTGCTGTGATGATTTCTCGTACTGTGTGGGGTCTAACAGCCGATGGCAGCGACACAGCCTCAGATAAATCTGTTAAGCTCAGGAAAACAACGCCTGATGTTTAAGGATGTGCTGCCCAGACCATTCTAACCTGAGGCTCGGCTACACTTATTCATCCGGACTAACTGTCAGCTATATGCAAGTCTTCAAACCAGAGCTCATCAAATATTGAAGGTTTCTATTAGTGGAGAATCCAGGCTGCGGAGCATCGTAGCTCCACAGTATGCCCTGTAAAGATCACCGCCAAGACAGCCATGACCAAACACACACTATACGGGTTTAACAAACACTGGTATGAAGCCAGGTTCTCTGTCACCTATAAACAATAAGAACGACAGCCCCTAGAAGATGTTTCAATCAATAATCATCTGTTGTGTGATGCTTACATGCCTAAAGCTCGGCTACGTGGGAGACCATCTGCGTTCCCATTGATTTATCACCGCAAAAAGACGGGAGCGTTTGCTGCTATAGAACAGAACGAGGAAGTTTTTCATATTGTACTCAACGGTCTTCACTACGAATACAAAGAAAAGGGTTCAACCGCAGCAGCAGCCTGAGTGTGTTTGCTTTGCCTGGATACAGAGAGCGCTGCTGGCCGCAAACAGCAGCAGCATCAGCAGCAGCATCGGTCTGCAGGCTGCCAAGCTGCCAAACATCAGGCTCACCGAGGAACCCTGCACTACTGTCATTTCTCCAAAAGCACGTCTGTGGTAGCAGCTGTTGTATTGGAATGCCTGTTTCATGTTAACATATTTATTAGACTGCAATATTTCATACTTTTCATACTGTATATATAACTTATCTTTTTTTTATATTGAAATCTCTTCTGTTTTATTTTTTTGCTCTTTATTTTGTTCTTTATTCTATGTTGCACTGAAGGAGCTGCTCTTAATCTCATTGTACATGTGTATAGTGACAATAAAGGCTTTCTATCTGTCTTCTTCTATCTGTGGTGTTAAGTTCTGCGTTTGTTATTTACTGGATTTAAACCTCGTAGAGACATAAACAGACCTTCTCATTAAACGCCGCTCGGAGAGATAACAGGTCCTCGTGGGCTTTTTTTCGCGGCACCGTGATGAAGCAGCGGACGTTGATGTCATGAATAAATCCGCCTCGTTATAATTGATTTTGGCCTTAATCTGTTATCAGAAGAGGAAAAGACTCACCTGTCTGTCCAGCTTCTGCTGTCGGAGGTTGGTGCCCTCATCGTCTAAAGTGCTGCAAAGAAAAGAGCAAAGAATGAAGTTAAAATACTGAAGACGCTCCTCGGCTGTTTGCTGTACGATAATAACATTTTCAGAACTGCTTGAGGTGATTCGCTGAAACTGTAAGAGAACATTAAACATATAAAATGTGACTATATATTATCTAATATGTTTTTTATGAGCTATCTATTGTGTATTCTTACGTTGGGATGAACTCACAAAAATCACTTATCTGCTGCATATTGGCATGATCTAATGGACACGAACAGAACACACACATTACATCACAAAAGAGCTTCAGCTACATATAAGAGAAGAGCAGCTGATTAGAATGCAGACACTGTGTAAGTGCCAAGACAACAATTAGCGCCTAAAACAACTGCTTGTTTTGAGGGGAGCGGCTGTGCTGGAAGACTTCTCCGTCATCCAGACCTTTATCATTTATCTCTGAGAGTTGCTGCTGCTGAGGGAGTCGCAGCCAGACTTTGGAGGTGCTTCACTACAAATGACATTGATTGATGGTGCAGTGCAAAGTCACAAAATCTCCAGAAACCCTGAGCTGCGTCTGCCCGCCCTGCTTGAGCATCTCAGAAATAATCACATAGACGCGATGCCACAGGCCGATCCGTAACGAGATGCTGTGTCCTGTAAAAAAAGGCAAAGTCACAGCCGGTCTGTCAGAAACATCTGTGGAAACCCTGCGTGGCTTTTTTTTGATACGAGGAGCGACCGATGCCCATCTACTGTAGCATGAATAGAAGTGTGTCTGCTTTGAAAGTCTGCATCGGGCTGCACACAGAAACAATGAGCTGCCCTTAAAAGAACCGGCGCTGCTGAGCTAACTGTGTCGAGCCATCTCGGATGAAGACGTTTGTATTTCCTGGATGGCTCATCACACCACACAGAGGAACACATGTACTTTAATACTGGAGACAGATCACATAGAAAATAAGGGCCAGGAGATTCCTCATGAAGCTGCTGTTAGCTTGTTTTCAGGAAACACGACAGAGACACAGATGCATGACATGATGTGGTAAAGGATGTCTTCATTTTTTTACTCTTAAGATATTTTTTTAGCCTTTTTGCCTTTATTGTACAGGACAGTGAAGAGAGAGACAGGAAAGTGGGGGAAGGACCTGCAGCAAAGGGCCACGAGCAGGATTCAAACCCATGGCCGCTGCATCGGGGACTGTAGCCCCTGTACATGGGTCGCCAGCTCAACCAGGTGAGCTATAGCAGCGACCCAAGTCTTAATATTGAGAAAAAAATATTGTCATGCTGCCTCAAGAGAGGAAACACGTGTCATGTCTGAGCTGACAGTAGCCAGGACATCGGTTTGACCAGAAGAGTTCCTTCTTAGTTTCTTTTATGTAAGCAACACCTTATTTTATCACATTTCAAACACTGTTTTATGTCCATTCATCCATCATCTCTACACCTTAATCCTCACTAGGGTCTCGGGGGGCTGGAGTCTATCCCAGATGACTGAAGGCAGGTTCACCTGGACAGGTAACCAGTCTATCACAGGGCTACACTTAGAGACAGACAACCAAGCACACTCACATTCACACCTACGGACAATTTACAATCACCAATTAATCTCAGCATGTTTCTGGACTGTGTGGTTCTAGCTGTGAGGCAACAGTGCTAACCACTGAGCCACATGCAGCCCTTTATTTTATGTCCTTGCATTTTAATTTTCCTTCTTGTAGACAAATTATGAAATGGTAAATGTAGTAGTTAACTGATGCTGTTTTTTTAAAGCGATGTTAACTGGGCAGCTGGTCTGTTAATAGTCAAACATACAGGAATGCCTATCATGCTGTCAGTTTTTAGATTTAAGTATCATATGTGATAGTTCAGCTGCAGACCATCCGTATTAACAGAAACAGTGAAGAGTTGTGCTGTGAGGAATAATAATGTTCTGTATAATCTTATGGTAACAGCTACACCTGCGTGTTGCCTCTGAACCGTCGCAGCTGACAAACCAGATAAAAGTTTTACAACCACGGCTCCTCGTGGAGCAGAAGTGAAGGCTGGGAACACCCATGTTTAAACTACTACTTCACATCCACACCGACAAAGCTGCCACCGCCGCAGACTCGCTTGTTTTTTTGTTTGCCGGCCTTGTAAAATAAGTGTTGTGAAATAATCAACTGATTCTGATTACTTCATTTGGCACTAGACACTAATCAGTCTTTCACTACTCAGGTAGCCCAGTGTGTTCTCCAGGAGCTCATTTGCATTTTTAGTGCTTCAAAAAGTGCTGCAGCTGAGATTTTGCAGAAGTTCCTGTGACTAGAGGCTCATGTGCAGATCTTCTCTGTCAACAAAGATTACGTTGGACTGCAGCAAACAACGCTGTCACGGTTTGTCTTTGAATCGAAGGCTTATGAACCATTCAGAAACTGTATCAGCAGACATATGGACGGCGTCTGTCATGAGAAAAGCACAGACAGATGATCTGAAGATGATGGCTGTCTCATGCTATTTGAGCTGCAAGACTCTGGACTGCATAAATAAAACTAACCTGAACGCTCTCCCATCGAAGACGGCAGCTGCTAAAGGTTACGGCTCCTTTATTCGTTCCCTTTAGATACCTGTGGTCACCTTCACAAGGCCAGGAGGTTTCCACAATGGAGACAACATCGAAGGATTAATGGACACTTCTCAGATCCCTCCCGCTGCATGATCCACCTCTCTGCCTCGCTGTCCATATGCTCAGCGAGCTCCGGTTTGATCTGTGGCCCTCTTGAAAGGGAAGCTGTGCCGCTATTGGCGATGGCTTTGAATAGATTGCATTAGATGAAAGACACCTTGTGTGCACTTCACCGCAAACTGGATTAAGACATTTAACTCTTACAGTATTTAGTCTGAGTCGATCCTGTTTGTACGGGAGTCTTTGGACAGTTTTTTTGGAAGAAAGGTGAGAAAGCCATGTCATGTTTAATATCTCTCAAAAGTATGTCCTCAGCATAACATGTGACTCTGTGGGGAAATATTAATCTGATTAAGGGTTGGTGTCCATTTGTAGGTTTATTCAGAGAGCCCAACAAACCAGAAAGCATCGACCTAAAAAATAAAAAGTGCGTCTCAGGCTTCCTCAAACTGTGATCATCACCTGATTCTCACCTCCTGTCATGAGCTCCAGAGTGTGTGATCATCCTCATGGGCTTTTATATACGTTCAAACCAAAATAAAGTTCTCCTGACAAGCATAACGACGCACAAAGGGCTCATTATCCCAACCGAAGCCTCCTCTGACGCTGCACATATTGAAGATCTATTACATGAATAACAAGATGCGGCCGACCCATACGGCCTTTTCTTTATGCATATATCATCAGTATATCTTTATATCAGCATGATCTTCACGCTTCTAAATGATACCATCATTACAGTTCAGATTCAATTAATGCATGTGTACATATTCCAGCCTATCTATTAAGCACACAGAGCTCGGGTGGCCTGCGTGGACGTACACTTGATTAGAACTTCTGTGAAAGCGATGCAAAGAGTTGTCCCAGCAGCACGGTATCAATCAAACATCTAATTTCAGGTCTGCAAAAATGGATTCTCCGGGCATGCTTTGCTGCACAGTCTGCTGCACCCAACACCACCGGGTCACACCTTTCTCTGCATGAACAATAGTATTGACTTGAGCAATATTTGATTTGGCAGCACAACCCGACACAATACCACCTGCCTAAGCAAAAGCCTAAAGGTCAGCAGAGAACAGGGCAGTGCTGCTGAAATGAATGTGTAAATGAAGTTGGCCACCGTTCCTCTCTCCGTCCCGAAATGCTCGCCTGCACGCCGGTTAAAGAACAAACAAAATACTGATTCACACATTTAGGTTCTAGTGCACGGCCTTCTTTATCTTAAAATCTATAAAACACATTTAAAAAAAATAAGACAAGGGGCCAAAATATCCAACAAATTACAGAAACAGACCTAAAACTTACAGCAACCACTAAAGACTTTAAGCCACACAAGAGCTCCATCTATAATCAATTCTGTCTATTGATACTGTGCTAATTGACCAGTTAAATGTTGGCACTAAACATGGGGACAAACACACATCCCAGTTTACTAGAGCCTGTAGTCGAATGTCAAAAACCCAAACTCACACTGACATTAACAAGCAGCAAATCCTACAGTCGTGAAGCAAATGTTTGTTATTTCACGTGAAGGATTAATCAGAATTATGAATTATTATTAATAAGCCAGCAGTGGAGAAATTGATTTAGCGGAAAATTGTTTCAGATAACATGTCCGCCGTCCCGCTAATAAAGATTACTTGACATGTGGGGAGAGGAGTGGTTCCACGCCAGAGTCCAAATAAAGGAAAAGAGGACAGCTTGATGGATGAGAGCCTCGTAACACAAGAATAATGAGGTTACTTGTAATTTCCCACTTCCTTACCTTTACTCAGCGGCCGTAGTCACACACAGAATTCAGATCCTTTTACTTTTTGCACACTTTTTTTTAAATTTGTGTCGTAGATGTCATTTTAATAAAGTTGTCATTTTGTCCATGAATCTCCACTCAGTAACCCATCATGATAAATAAAACATTACTCTTTGCAAAGGCCCAAAACTGAAATTCCTAACGTGTTAAGGTTTTCAGACCTTTGCTTTGGCACTTTGTTAATTCATATGTGTCTTAAACTGGTTTGGAGTCAACCAGTGGCACATTACCAGACACAGATTAGAGAGCTAGACCCTCATAAGATCCAACACAGCAGGACAGGATTAAAAACCCAGTCATGAAGTCAAAGGAACTCTCTGCAGATGTCCGTGTCGAGGCATAGGTCAAGGCAAGGGTACAGAACCACATCTAAAATTTAAATGCTCACAGAAGGACAGCAGCCTCAATAATTATAAAATGAGGAAGTTTGGAACCACCTGGGCAAGATTTGACCGTCTGACGAAACTCAGACCCAGAGCCCATGCACGCTGGTGTTTTTTATAATAGGGCATCACATGAATATGCAGAAACATGCAGTCAGGAG